TGGGCAAGTTGAACAGCAATCGGATCTCTGTCAAAAACCGACATTGTCATAGCTTTTAGGTTTAAAAGTTTGAATTTTGATGTAAAGTGTTCTCTTCATGAAAATTAAGTTGAATTATCACAATCACATTGCGGCATAAATTTCCATTGTAATCATTGCTGTGTAACATTAATTGTTCCACGTATAACATAACACTTTATTCTTATTATTGCGCATTTTCTTTGAAAGAAATGAGTGTTTTCTAGTTCTGTTTAAAAGCCGTTTTTACGGTTAATGTTTCTCGTTTGTACTACAATTTAATCCAACTTGTATGTGGGGCAATTCTGATAATTCAATTTTGCAGTTTCAACCCGAAATTGGATCGCACCACGTTAGATTACATTGTAATGCAGATAAGAAAAGTTATCTGTGAAAAGGGCTATAGATTTATATCCAAAGAGAACAGCGTCTTTTGGTCGAGGAAGGTCAGGAAATTTTTGTTTTCTTGATGGATGGTACCCCGCCAGCCGGGAGAAAAATAATGACGCGAAACCGAAGAGGCGTATTTGTATTTTTTTCTTTACACCCGCTTTCAGTGTTAAGTGCATAGCGACTTTCTTTCGACATGCCATCTCTTGACATGCTATGTAACCTGGCCTATGTTAAAAATGTAAGGACAACTGACTTCTTTGTCGAACTCGACTTTTAGTCATGAAAGATGGATTTATTTGATGTCAAACTAAGGATAGGAGTATCAGGAAATCATTCTATGTGAGATAAATCGACTGTTTTGAATGTCTACATCTTTCGAATACTAACTGAGCGGTAGCGGCCTAATTCTACCGGAAGTCACTTTTAAGAGCCGATCGAATACACTAAAACCATTTGAACTATCCCGTAAATAGGGAAACATGCAAAGTCCACAATCTTCTTCATCTATTTAATGTAAATAATTATCATTAATTTGTCATTTATTCCACTAATAACCACAGTTTTTCACAGTTTAACGGTCTTTCAGCCGTTTACATGGCATATCGAAAGATGGCATGTCGAAATGTGGTCGAAAGATGTCGTCTATGCACGTAACACTGATAGCGGGTGTAATTTATGGCAGTAACTGAGGTTTCAAGACCGAGTAAGAAGACGTGTGAAAGCTAAGCTATGAGAAGTCACTGTGTTTATTTGGCTTTTGGAAGTGTTCTACTAGTGACATGCCTAGCAAAAGAGATTGACACGAAGCAGTTCTACTTTGGGTAAGTTGGAATAGACCACTTTAAATATATGAAAATTCAGCTTGGCAGCTTGGCCTAAGGGACACAAACAAAGGAAATTGAATGACCATGCATATATGTTTATTCATTTCTTTTGCTTGTGTCCTCTAGGCCTCTCTATCAGACTAAATTTTAATATATCGAAAGTTGCCTCTTGAATAATATCATCGTTCCCAGACTGTTCTCTTCTCCTCTTGCCCCGAAAAGAGGAGAGACCCTGAAAATGAGGTTTGTCCCAATTCGCCAGTTTTTGACAGTTAATTCTCATTAAAATATTAAAGGTATGAGAGAGTGTAGCAACTTAAACGCTGCGAAAATAAGGTCTGGAAAAAAAATTCAGGCTTGAACTGGATTCGAAGCCTTAACCCCCATTGCAATTCCTACATGGTGAAATGTTTCAAATACTTTCGAAATTCTCCACTTTGAAGAACTTTTTCCAAAAGCTTCTTTATTGATGAAAACTGACCTAAACGCAACGTATACACAAGGAGACATGAAAAGATTCCCCCTCCCCTGCTCAACTCGAGCTAGCTCTTTGACAATTATCCACGAATAACATGTTTATTATTATCTACAAATACAACCTCAGGAACAATAAAAATCATCTACAGTAGCTTAACATAGCACTTTTTATATTTACTTAGAACACGTGCAACTCTACCCAAGCTGTTACTATTTGGTATTGTATCTTTTAAATCTTTTTTTGTCACCAACAGCCATAAAGTTATACGAGTGTTCCCTGCGACACAAGCACACCTCAACGTGTTAGTCACACTACAAAATCAATTCAACAATGAAGCTGTAAGTTAAAGCTGTCTTTGTTTCACAACTTATTGCGTCTGAAAACTGATTTCAATTGGCCGACTGATTGTTTGATGATTGATTGATTGACTGATTGACCTTTGGACATTTGTTGTGCTTCTTTTAATCCTGCGTTCTCTAATGTTAGCTCGACTTTTGGACACAAACGCTGCTTGAGGGAGCACCTGTTGATATTCGTCTGTCTCCCGTAAACAGTTATGAAAACATCACTGCATTGCTGACAAGTTATGGCATCGAGTTCAGAGTTCAGATACCAAACTTACAATCCGTCATTGACCAACAAAACGGGAACCAACGAGGGAAGCGTGAAACTTCATCATGGTTTGACCGATATCATAGTTTGGACGAGGTAGGCGCTACAGAAAACACGCCTGACTTGAAAATGATAAAAATAATCTCATATTTACGCCAGTTGTTATAAGAATCTTCCTAATTGCACCATCTATCTTGCCAAAGGGCGTTGTAAGTACTACAGAAAACATGTCTGACATTAAAATGACAAAAGTAGTTTCATATGGTTATAGGGGGTCTACCTATTTTCGGAGCACTTGCGAGTTCTCGCGCTATTTCGGATTGGATGATATGATCTGAATCTCTTGGACTGGATCAGTAAAAAGTTACCACACAAAAGTCTCGAAACTGCATATTGTTGTCACTGCATTGTATACTAAATACTGTTTCAAAAATGCTACACACATTAAGCTGAAAGTCACTCTAAGTATCCGGATAATCGTCTGCTCTTGTTCATCGCATTTTGGTCTATTTTGCTTAAGATTTTCTCTCAGCTTAGAGAAACCGCCGCCTTGAATAAGGAAAGAGTTCGGATATTCACGTTCGGAAAGTCTTATGAGGGAAGACAGCTGTTCGGTGTTGAGGTAAATATGACCATGAAATTGATCTCCGTGGTAAAAATTATAGGCTGATATTTTGTGTATATTACCAAGTAGTATCTCTGTAGCTTATATCGACCTCACACTCGGGCAATAACTTTGGTATTTTTGTAGTAAGGTACGCCTCAAACATTTGTGGCATGGCATAGTTAAGTTATCTAATAGTTCATTAGAAAATAGTTAGTAGGTTATTAATTATATTAAGTGTCCCCAATTAGCAGAGGTGTTTCTTTCCCCCATTGGTTAGATGTTAAGACACATTAATAAAGTTTATGGTATGTTATGTTATGTTATGTTATGTTATGTTATGTTATGTTATGTTATGTTATGTTATGTTATATTATGTTATGTTAACTGCTCCAGAAAGAAGGATTAAAAACCATTACTTTGTTTTACTAAGAAGTAGTGTTCTTTGAAGTCTGAACTGATCCGTGCCACTTGGCTGTTTAGATCCAGACAACCCCACAAGACGCTAAGCCATTGGTATTCATAAACTGTGGAATCCATGCCAGAGAATGGGTCACACCAGCTACATGCATGTATCTTATACATCAGGTCAGTATCAAGAGCTAGTTTGTTTGTTTACATCACATGACTGTGACAAAAAACAAACAACAACAAAGCAAAACTAAACAAAACCGAACAGAAAGCAAACCGAACCTAACCAAAGCAAATGAAACCAATAAACCAAATATAGAACTAATTCAAAATCAATAGGCCTTATCACGGTTTTCGACGCCATCTTGACGGCTACGGTAGGCAAAGCGGTCAGAAATTGCAGTGTTTGTATGGCAATCCGATGGCAAATAACATTTTCAAAAATTGGATTTTACACAATTTGTGAATGGCAACGTTAACATACTTGGTAGAAGATTGTATTAACCAAGTTTGAAGGATGTAGCTTGGCTAGAAGACGCTCAGTTAATTTTTCTAATTTTCCATGCATTTGTCTGTAAATTTGGCTGGGTAGACGCGCGGTTTGACGGGAAAAAAATACAGACAAATGTATAGGACATTAAAAATTAACTGAGCGTCTTCTAACCCAGCTATGTCCTTCAAATTTGGTGACACAATCTGCTACATAGTATGTTGTAAGTTGCAATTCCTAAGTTGTGCAAAATCAATATCAAAAACTAAAACATTATTTGCTATCCGATTCCCAAACAAACTCTGTAACTGTTACTGTAACTTTTGACTGCTTTGCCTTTTATCGTTTTACTATTGTGCGAAGCGCTTTTTAGATAGGTTTTAATCATGTTATTATTATCAATTGCAACATTTGAGTTGCTAGGTCAATACAGCAGGACCTCAGTTTGACATTTTCCGTAGACCTGGCTTGCGAACGCAAACGTATTTCCGGCTGTGGCGTGCCTCCGCGGAAAATAACGTCTGCGAACCCGAGCCGGGAAACGATTTCTGTGACGTAGGAATTTTAAGCCAATCGCAGTTTAGCTCAAGTAGCCCCAGAACTACTGCGCGAGGTATTCGCTGCGAGGGGCACTCGAGTTTCATTCTATCATGGTATCTGATTGGCCAAGGAGAAACAAAAGTCATCAGGTCACAGAAATCGTTTCCTGGCTCGGGTTCGCAGACGTTATTTTCGGCGGAGACTAGCGACAGCCGGAAGTACGTCTGCGTTCGTAGGCTAGCAAAGAACTCACTTTAGTTTAATAATTCGTTTTTTTTTTTATTTTAATCCTCTAGTTAACCTCTCAATATCAAGATGACGTCACTGTGCAGGAGGTGTTAAACAGAGTGGATGTTGTTATAATGCCTGTTTTTAACGTGGACGGTTACGTATACACTTGGAAAAAGGTAGGAAAAGAGCTACCCTCTACAAAAAAGAAAAGTCATTTCGCTGTACTCATAGAGTCGTGAAAAAAAGTAAGCTTTGTCGAAATGGGGACAAACTGAGAAACCGCGAGTTACGATAACGGTATGAGCAATGTACGAGCTAGGTACAAGCCTACACTAGGGAGATACTAGCAAATAATGAGCAAGAGAATTGTGTTACGAAAGGTATGGGAACAGTTCGATCGAGAAATGAATGAAGCTCGGGAACGGTATGAAAAAAGTATCTATAACAGCTCGATTCAAGAAAAACAAAAAAGGTTCCAGCGAAGCAGCGTAACGTGTAGTCTACGAGAAGATTACCAGCGATTGCGACCAAAAATCGAGGCGGGTTCGAAATACAAAGGGGGTTGGATCTTTAGCGCCGATCTAGAGCGCCTTTCCAAACCAGAGAGATAACTGGAACCTTTAAGCTAAAACATATATATCAAACTCGTGGAGAGATGGGCACGAGACTAACATTAAATCATGCATAATGACGTCAGCGTTTAAAAATGTATACATTTATGTTCCCTACACGAAGACGCACGTTTAAGAACTTATCCATTCTGGCGAAAGTATACGAATAGATCCATATACGTATAAGAATATATATGGGTTATTGAGTGAGCGTGAGGTCAAGGTGGCTGGATATTGGCCAAGTTCTTTTTTTTGCGTGTTTATGGACTGACAGAGCCATACTGACCGAACAAGTTTGATAAAAAAAAAAAGATTTATTATATGGAAAAAGAACACTATTATCTTACGGGACACAGCGGGTAATCCCGAGCGAACAAAATAGCGCCATCTTGCACGCTCGGGAAGCCAATCACAGCCCAGTATTTGATTCATTTTTCCCGTTACCGGAGCTAGGTAGGTAGCCATATAGTAAATACATTTACACGTTGAGTCCTGCGAGAAGAAACATAGCGTGCGGTTTCCACATAACGGCTCATCGAGGGAACCCCTAAAGTTCATGTAAATACTACAAAAATAATCCAGTTTCTATTGTGTATAGGATCGTATGTGGAGAAAGAACAGAAGCTTGAACCCAGGCTCCAAATGCGTCGGGACAGACCTCAACCGGAACTGGGGATTCGGCTGGGGTGGTACGTAATAGAATTCTCTTCCATTCAGGATAAAAATACTTATGAAATGTAATTTCTGACGATTGAAGAACGAGTTTGTCAGAAATTATTATTCTGACGGCGCGACGAAGAGGCTCGCGGGGTGTCAAGGGACGTTTAGGGACTATTAGGCATTTGGCGGGAAATTTAGGTCATTCTAGGTCGGTCAGTCTTCTTCCACGGTTTTTTATAAAGCTTTTATTTTAACAGCTTGTATGTATAATTGTAAAAATGTTCTAGCTTATTGATTGTGTACCCTTTCGTCGGTTTTTTTTAGTGGTTTTTCGTACCTGGCGTAGGACAGGTTCTAATTGTTGGAACCATTAGTTGTAATTTGCAAGGACACAGATTAACTTATTAGACGGAATACATCTGCATCTGATGCATCCTCAATGAACTATTCACATTGAATGTCTCGTGTTAATGTGGTCAGCATTGCTTTCACTCAATGGATCAAAACAGCTTTAAACTTTGTTATCATAGTGGGAATACTCAAAATTTCGTGGTAGAAATATTCACAATTTTGTTTTGGTGTGGTTATTGTTTGTTGCCAATTGATCTTTTGTTTTACGGCATTTGTGATGCTTCTTGTGACGGATTCTGATGATTTCGTTTTATATTCATTTCAATTTTGACCAGAGACCGGAGCAAGCGGCCATCCCTGCAGTGAAATCTACCATGGACGTGCTGCGATGTCCGAACGTGAAGTTCAAAGTGTTGCTAACTTCCTTCAGTCCCAAGGACACCGACTGGTAGGGTATCTCGATATTCATTCCTACAGCCAAATTTTGATGTTTCCGTGGGGATATACAAAGAGACGGAACAAGGACTACGAAGAACTGGTACATTACAAGATTAGACTATTTATATATGCGAACAAATTTGCTTAGAGCTATATGCAATGCTGATACGAATGTCCGCAAACTGGGAAAACAGATAGTGTAAAAACGTTGAAACTCTTACGCAAGCCCACTGTTAGAGACAATAGTCAAAGGTTGAATCTGTTGTATGCAATGTCGCAGGTAGACGAAAAAACTTTAAAACGTTGTGTTCAATGTTTCAGGGAGTAAAACAAAAGTTAAAAATGTTGAGCGCAATGTTACAGATAGTACACAAACGTTGAAACAGTTGTGCACAATGTTATAGATAGTTGAGAAACGTTTAGTTTGTTGTGCGCAATGTTAATAATAATAACAATAATAATAAAGTATTTATATAGCGCCATAGTTGGCAAACGTTGAGACTGTTGCGCGCAATGCTGCTGATAGTGGACAAACTTGGAAACTTTTTTTTTTTGGAATTTGTTCTGCACAATATTACAAATAGCGTAAAAACGTTGAAACTATTGCGGGCAATGTTGTAGATAGCAGACAAACGTTGAAACTGTTGCGCTTAATGTTGTAGGAAGCGGACAAATGCTGAAAATGTTAGGCATGTTTCTAAAACTGAGCGCTTAGGAAAAAGAACTCCTATTTTTATGTACCGTCTGATTTTTTAAAATCTATATGCTCACAATTTTACCTCCACATAAAACTCTTTTTAGGCAGGCTAGCTACTGTGAATTACTTGGCTTAAAAGATATCCGGCAAGTTTTTGTTTGGGTTTACTCTGTACGAAAATACTAATTCCTGTTTCAGATGCGGGTTGGTCAGGCTGCAGTGGATGCGATCAAAACTCGCGGAGGTGACAACACCAGTTACACTTTAGGACAAGCATCCGATATCATGTGTACGTATATAGTCTGATGGAGTTTACACTTTGGCTCAGTTTGCAAGCATGTCGTCATGTTCTAACTTTTTAGTTTCAGCTTTTGGTTTGGCACTCGTCGAACATGCTGAAAAAGAGACCCCGTTATTGTCATTAGTACCGTAGTTAGAAATTTAGCGATTCTTAATTAAAAGCCAAAAAACACCATAAGAATTAATGCTTAACTACATTCGATTTATTGTCCACACACTTTTAGACTAGAACCATCTTGTGGGGCATAATAAACGGTACCACATGAGCGTACTGTTTTGTAGCTTGTATTTGAATGGTTACGCACGGGGTTTTTTCCTCAGACTTAAAAGGTAGAACCACCTTGTACAGCAACGTACGTAAATAGTACCACATGAAAGTACTGCAGAATGGTCACAGACTAGGGTTTGATCCACAGATTCAGAAGTTAGAACCAACTTGTACAGGACAATAAACTGTACAAAAAATGCTCAATATCTTTCGCTGGAAGGTTAAGACCCTTGCCCCTTCGCTAGATTTTTTTTCAAGGGGTGGGAGATAGTGGCAGTAGAGTAACAGTTTTACTCATTACTGACTTTTGACTAATTCGTAATATTTTTGTTTTGTTTCTCACAGATCTCGAGTCCGGCACAACAAAGGACTACATTTATGGCCATTTGAACGTGCGATACGCGTTCTCTATGGAGCTAAGAGACACTGGAAAATACGGATTCCTTCTTCCCAGCCATCTGATAGAACCAACAGCTAAGGAAGCGTTTGAAGGAATCAAAGCCATAATTCTGAATATGAAATTAAATGATTAACAAACCAATGTCGTTATTTTCTATATTGTGATTCAAATACTTGCAGAAAACGAAATAGATAAAGCTTTGGCGTGTTTTGCCTCAGCAAATGTCATAGAGTAACCCCAAACATTTTAAATTCCATATTTTCTGTTTCAATGTTATCCAAATGAAAAAGTGAAAAGATTCAACATTGAGAGAAGGAAAGAGATATGAAAAGATGAACATTATTGAAATCCTTTTCCAAAACATTGTTCAACTACTGTAGCAATGTTGAGGAAATAAACAAGGATGGCTTCGAAAAAATATGAGAGAGGGCTGAATTTCCACAAAAACCCGTTATTTCAGTTGCAGCGAAAATGATATTTTGCTTTGAAACAGAAATGGAGAGAGTGCAGACTATAAATAGCTTTGGACATGAACTGTAAGTGAGCAATCCCTTTTCTAGTTTACGCGCATTTTAACTTTAACGGTTTATGAGCTGAACACTTGTGTCATTGTCGTGTTATAATCTTGCTTGACTATATTACACGCCAAAAGAACGTGGTGAAAGGAAACACAAAACACAACAACAACAACAACAA